GAAAGTTAATTACGCCTTTCGATAAATTATTCTTTGTGCAACAAAGAGAGCAAGAGTTAAAGAGAAAGATTTGCAAAAACTTATTGATCAGGCGCTTAAAAGCTCGGATACGGCAAGAAATAAGCAAAAAATGTATTACGATAGAAAACGCCGTGAAGCAGATTTTAAAGTTGGGGATAAAGTATTGAAGCGAAAATTTTCTTTATCAAGTGCCCCAGACAATTTTACTGCAAAGTTAGCTCCAAAATTTGAAGGCCCCTATGTAATTCAGGAAATCAAAGGAGTCGTATTGTACCTTAAGAACGAGAGAGGGGAAATCTGTAAAGCAAGTCTCGACCAGGTGAAAAAATACTATAATCCAAATGATTTTGAAATCCTTAAAAGTTTCTTGCAGAACTCAAGTCTAACAGAAGTAGAAGGTCCAGAAATAACAACAACTGTTCCACCACCCAAGAAGCAGAGAACTGAAGAGAGACCTAGCCCTTCTACAACCCAGACGACGGTACCAGAAAGAAAAAATGAAAACTTTCAAACTCCAGCATTTAAGAAAAATAAGAATGAAAAGCCACGGCGCAAAGAAACCTTGGTAAGGAGGAAAACACCACCTACATCGTATCGCAGTAGAAATTATACATCAAGGAGAACGGTCCCAGGGCCAGAGAGTCAGGTGCAAGCAAGACCGCCGTTCCGGAAACTGAAAAGACAGCAGGAGGAACAAAAATACCAGGAACAACAGAAGAAATTCAAGAAGGACTTCCAGACCGGAGGACGTCCAAGACCAGCCGTCCAAGGAAAAACGAAAAAGACAGCAACCCGACGATTACTACTCCCCAAAAGGCCAGCATGCAGAGGACGCAAGAGAAAGAACTAATGTCACCACGGACGGACACTTGGAGGTCAGTAAAGGAGACGATTGACGTCCATGAAACCTATAACGTGGGAACAATTTTGCCAGAAAAGAATGACGGAGTTTCAATCATCGAAAACTCAAAGATAAGTTAAAATCTTCTATAAAATTTTTTTCTTTTGTTCCGAAATGTTATGCATAAGTACGAAGTTCTATGTTTTGACGAAAGTCAATATGTCTCGGTTGAGACTTAGTTTTGTTTTACTTTATTTAGCTAAGGCAAAAGTATTATTTTCTTTAAGTACAAATCTAAGAACAAGCATTTTCTGTTGGTCGAAAGACTAATTCTGTTATGTTAAAGCCAAAATTTGGCCGAAGATAAAAATAACTTCGTATTCTTGTATTAATAAGAATTTTAGTTTCAGTGCCGCCAGCTTGGCGAAGAATGAGTAAAGTAAAAATTTATTTTCTCTTATTCATTTTATGGTAAATTTTAAAAATCATATGTATTAAAATTTTGTAAATATACGTAAATACTTGAAAGTTATGTAAAAGTAGAATTTAGTCTAGAAGCATAAAATTTTAGATTCTAAAAGTAAATGCTTAAAAGCAATGAATTCAAATTTAAGTATTAAACTGTAGATAAAATCATGCTTTAGAGCGAAAGCCTGCATGTCTAAAGATGAATGAGGGGGAAGTTAGAATGAATGTGTTTTGTAGGGTTCTCCACCTAGATTTGAATTTTTAAGAATGTTAAAGTAGCTCATCGAGTTGTAGAAGGTCGAGTAAGGTGTGTCTATTTGGTCGTTGAATTCTAACAAATAATGGTGGTTAGGGGAAGTGTTGTAAGACTAAAACACGAATATTCCCGTTTGACACCACACATGGTGGAGAACCAGGGTAAAGTTAAATTAATGCTTGAAAAATTGAATGAATGTGAATTAAGCAATAACTAAGGAAAACGAATCGTTTAAAAACAAAATTTATTTAGTGTCAAGAAAGTGTAAATTATAATGTATTTAGAAAGATACTGATACTTATTCCTTCCAGATGCTGGAAGGAAAAGAACAAGATTGATTGATGAAGTCCAGGAAAAGTTGCTGTAAGAAGAGAGATTTATATAAGTATCGACAGAAATTTAGTATACATTTTGTTACATAAGATTTTTTTTTGTGTAAGCGAGGCTCTTGAGAGTTAGTTTAGAATTATAGAAACTTTACAACAGGTCGTTTGTAGGACCTGCTTCCAAGTTTTCCAAATTCTGGCAGCGGCAAATGTAGGGTTTATATTTATTTTAACTAACATTTATTTTAAGTTTAAACTACTTTCCTGTCAAGCCTTACATTCCCCTGGAACTGCCAATGCCAGAGTATGTAAATTTTAGTAGAACGCGCAAGGATTCAAATTATCAGCGGAAGTATTCTGAGTTAAATAGAAAGGAAACGAGTTCGAGATGTGCTGTTCTTACTTCACGAGCGCGGAGGTAGTTAGCCAGAAATTGAAGAACCCCGCGTTTCGGCCTGTGTGCTTGCCTCGGAGAATTGTTAATCGTTCAACGTGATATTCAAAGTTTGCTGAATTAGCAGCGGTATTGTAAAACGCAGTGAGGTTAGTTACTTTTTAGAGAGCCTCGTAGTTAGAGTCTTGTTATTATTTTCTTTTCAGGTTCTTATTTTTATTTTACCGCCGGGTCGGCGTAGTTTGTGAGCATCAAGAGCACGTAATTGTAATTTCTTAAGTTGAATAAAAAGGGACTTAAACCCTTAGCAAGACTCAGTCTATTTTCCAGTTTCAACAGTCACCTCTTGGTTGCGTGCAGGTTGGAGGCGCGCAACTCTACAAAAAAAAAATAAATAAATAAAATTATCCGATGTGTATGGAGAAGTTACTGGTAGAACGCCAGTGTCAAAACTCTTTGCATAATTTCGATACGGCGAAGATGCACCACGTTCTGGAAGATCAGTTGAAGCTGATGGCGAGCTTAAGAACATGGAATCCATATGTTGAAATTTGAGATTAAATCTTTGCTTTTTCAAATGACCATGAATGATCGAATTCGATAAGTTTAATCTCTCAGCGATCTCACGAGTTGTTATTCGTCGGTTTGCATCGATTAATGCAGTACTGTGTCTTTTTCATTTTCAACTCACCTTCCAGAACGCGGTGCATCTTCAAGATCAAAATTATTGCCGGATCGAAGTTTTGTAGACCAATTTCGGCACTGGCGTTCTGTCAGCACATCGTCTCCATACAAAATCTGATAAATTTTTCTTTGCTTGAACGCAGTTTTACATTTTCGATAGTAAAAAAAGTAAAATATGCCGAAAATGCCGCTTTTCACTTTCCAAATTTGAAAGGGCACCTACCAAAAACTACTGCATAGAATCAATCGACCCTTTTCACAAACAAGCCTTGCTATATCAACTGTCAAAGTATATGATAAATGTGCGGCTCAAGTGCGAAGTTGGCTGTGAGAAATACAATTCAGGCCTCTGTTGGGAAAAAAACGAAATTACTTTCCGAACAACCCAATAGTTTTCTTTCGAAATATTATACAGCAAACTAATGCTAAAATATAAATGGGTTACACGATTTTTTATCACCAATGCTAAATCTTAGAATTTACTAAATGTGAATCGGTTGTGACGATATAAGAGATTTTGTACAAAATATCAAACAAAATCACTTACTGATTAGAGAATTCGTTCATGTTAGTAACAAGTTCAAACGGACTGGCTATCTGCAAAACGAGCACCCACTAAGATTCATTAAAATAGAAGTCAGTTGCATCACTAGGGAGCACTTATTGGACAAGTGTAAAAGTAGTAACTATAAAACTGAGAGAGATTCTTTATATGCTGAATGTATTCTTTTCCTGTATCATTCATGGTTGTTGAAATATGTATTTTCGAAACCACAGGGAGAATTATAAATCACACTTTATTTAAAAAATGGTTACATAAGGATCATACTTTAATTCATATATCAGCTGACATTCTTTACATTAATATTACTTCAAACAATTAAGATATCCGTTGCAACTTAAATTTATGTGTTAGCATTTTATGAGGACAGGACAGGACTAAGTGTGGGAAGCACCAACACGTTGCCATTGGCAGCACTGGTGTCGCTCCTTCACACTGTCTCGAGAAGAACACCTCCACAGGGCGCACTTACGCCACGCATCGGTATTAATTAAAAAGTTACCATTAGGGCACACAGATCTTGTGGTACAGAGCATGGCCGGGAGATACAGTTGCTGATGACAATTGCATTACAATACAATACCACACATTACAGTTGATGATGAAATATAAATATATGTACACAAATAAACAATTAGAACTGAATGAAAAAAAACATTATTATCTTGGTTAAGTTATTGTGATATTAATGAGATGTTTTTGGTCCAGTGTAATACATACTTGTGATGCAGTTTTTAAATACTTTGTGATTTTGCCGTGTTTTTGTAAACATGCAAAACATTAATAATAAAAAGGCCAAAAAAAATGTTTTGTAAAATCATCTTATTAAGAAAACTGAACATTGATATAATAAAATGAGAAAACACAGAAAAAAACAGAAAACTGTTGTGCCAATACTTAACGCTGCATCGAAATTCTAAACGTATACTGCTATGCTGCTAAAATTTTTGTGATTTTGCTGTTGAATTGTATATGGTGTAAGTGCAATGAAAATTATGCGCAATAATAAAGCTAAAGAGACAAATAAAAATGTGTTAGTGAGTGTAACAGCAGACTGGTAGACTGCGATCTCAGCAAGAATGTAAAAAACCGTAATAAACTCTTTTCGGCGACCGCTGAAATTTAAAACGCTTCAAATTTTTATTTCATTTTTAAAATTTTTGCGTCTTTAAATTAATACACTTTGTTAAAATATGAATGAATTTTACAAATCTTTGATAATAAGAATTTAATTTATATATGCTATATCGTTTATCTGCGTATTATGTTATGTGATATATTTTTATTCATGAATAAAAACTTTAACAATGCTATTGTATAAATTAAAAATTTTAACAATATTATTATAAAAATGTCGTTTGACTCAAAATTAATGTAATATGTTAGTTTAACACAATATGAGCTTTTGTTTCACCATAAAAACACGTCTCATCCTTTTATAATTGCAGTTTGTATCGAAACACAGATGGCATTATATTGGTTTGCGATTTGACCAACGCAAAATCTTTCTTAGGCTTGGATAGCTGGTTGGCAGATGTCAAAAACTATTGTGATGATGATGTGCCAGTTATTATCGGTGAGAAAAATTTATTTGTTATCTGTAGTGCCTATTATTATTAATTAATGAAGAATCTCTTTGTATGTATGTATGTTCTTTATGTAGAAAAGCTGACACCTAAAGCCATCAAACTTTCAACATCAAATTTCCATCCGAACGAATGAAATCCAAAGCCGGGATTTTGAATTTGCTTTTTGTTTATTTCAAGTTTTATGCGAACTTAATTAATTGTCGATTAATAAACTTAGCGATATGTTGCCACTGATTGAAATAAAACATTTTTTAACTTCGTCGCGCTAGTGTGTTTTTATTCGGCAAAGTGTAAAATATTTATCTTCTTTATTTAATCAACGAACTGGGTAGGTTAAAGGGAATGTGTTGCCACTGCTAAAAATAAAATACTTTTATCTTCCACTGGCCAATGCGTTACCCATTTGGCAAAGCGTAAAATATTTAACTTTCAAGTTTAATCTATCTGTTACTGATTAACAGACTAGGCGATTTAAAAGCAATAAACACAGTTTTTAATAATACATTTTTTCTTTTTATCGAGACTAGGCGATTTAAAAGCAATAAACACAGTTTTTAATAATACATTTTGTTACTTTTTATCGGTTGGTTTAAAAAAGAAATGCATTTAGTTTATGACGTAATATTCTTATTAAATTACATTAGCTTTACTCATTAAAACATCACTTCGAAAGCACGTATTTAAATTAATTTAAAGTTTCTTCAAATTATGTATGAGACTCATATTGGTTAGGTGAAAAAAAGCTAAAAGTACTTCAATAAATTAACAGTACGTTTAGTATTACGAGTTTGAAATATTTCTTTCTTTGAACTTTTGTGGCAACGTTGCGCAGGCGCGAGCGGAGATCGTCTAGGCAACGAGGAAGAGAGTTTTACTCTCGACCTACGTAGTCATTAAGAAACGATGCTTCTGTTCTCGGTAAAACAAAAATGTTCTCTCCACAGTGAGTTAATTTAAGGCAGTCCAATGGGAAATGGTTAAAGTTAAATGCTTTATGTGATTCAGCATCAATGCGAAATTTAATAACTGAGGAAGCAATTGATTTATTAGGCTTTCACAGATCGAGATGAAGGGCAGATTTAATTGGATTGAAAAATACTGTAGTTCCGATTACGGAAAAAATTTGTACGCGCATAGCTAAGGACGAATAATCTTTCAGTGAGGAACTCGAATTTTTAATTTTGCCAGAAATTGCTAGAAATGTTCCAGCTGAAAAAATAAGATGTCAAAAATTTTAAATTGCCAGAAAATATAAAGTATACTAATCCTAAATTTTATTTACCTAAAAAAAATATCGCTTCTTTTGGGAGGTGACGTGTTTTACGAATTATTAAGGGGAAACCAAATCCAGTTAAGGGGTAATTCTATCACTTTAATTGAAACAGTTTTCGGATGGATGGTAACAGGTTCTATTTCCGTCGTGTCTCCAAGTAATTCTTGATGTTATTTTGTACAAGATCGTGTTAATGAGGGTTTAGGACAATTTTGGGAATTAGAATCAATTGGTGTCCTCCAAAGTATACACTCAGATGAGGAAGATAGGGCCATAACACTCTTTAAGAATTATGTGTGTTATAAGGAGGGGAGGTACAAAGTTTGGTTACCATGGAAGCGCGACTTTAAGGAATTAAACGATAACTTAGCAGTTGTCAGGAGACGACTGGAACATTTGAATAGAAAATTTGAGAGATGCTCAGAACTTTATAACGACTACAGAGAGATACTGAATGATTATGAAACTCAGAGTATCATCGAAAACGTTCCAAATGACTAGGTAGAAAGTGATAAGCCCCTGTTTTATCTACCATTTTCAATGGTTTACAGAGACTCCGTCAGTTCCAAGAAACGAATCGATTTTGATGCCAGCGCACATGAACAGGGTGAACTTTCTCTGAATGACTGTTTATACACTGGACTTAGCCTTAACCGTCTGATATTCAACATGCTTGTCTTCTTCCGTTTGAATGCGGTGGTCGTCTTAGCAGATATCGAGAAAGCGTTTCCCAGATATCTTTGCATGAAAAGGATCGAAATGGAGTACGATTTCTGTTTCCAAGTAAAAACTCAGGTACAAATGAACATTATGATATCCAGCTTTTCAGATTTTGGCGTGTTCTGTTTGGCGTCAACGCCAGTCCTTTCTTGCTGTCTGCCACCATTAAAGAACGCATCGAAAAGTTTCGAGAGTTGCATCCCGCGACGGTGGAAATGCTTGATAAATGTCTATATGTCGACGATTTTGTTGGCGCTCTCGACAACGTCTCATCTGACTTGCAGATGTCGTGTGAAGCCAAAAGGATTATGGCTGACGCAAGAATGAATTTATGTAAATGGAGTTCCAACAGCAAGGAACTGTTACAAATATGGGAAGACAAGAGGTTCAAGATCCATCCCATTCATTCAGAGGCCAATCCTACGGACAAACTGCAAAAGGTCCTCGGTCTTCCGTGACACGTGCATCAAGACTACGTCACTATTGATGTGAAAGATTTACTGGAGTATAATAAGGATATAGTATTACAAAAAGAACTGTCTTAAAAACAGCGGGGAAATTGTAAGATGTGCTTGGTCTTCTAACGCCGTTTACAATCAGACTCAAATGTCTATTCCAGGAACTGTGGCTTAGGAAGTGTTCATGGGATGCAGAACTTCCAGCAGACCTTCTTCAAACGTATACTCAATGGAAACTTGAGTTATCTGATATTGCGAACTTACAAGTCCTCCTCGACGGTAGCCTAGGTGATGCCAACGAACTTCAAATCCACGTCTTTTTCGATGCCAGCGAAAGGGCATACGGAATTGCAGTATACTTAAGAGTTAAAAATGTTGACAAAATCTCAGTAAACTTAATTGCTTCGAAGAGTCGTGTTGCCCATTTAAAGAAACTGACTCTATCAAAACTTGAACTCACGGGGGCATTGCTCGCAGCCAGATTTGCGAAAGAAGTAGAACAAATTGTAAAACGAAAAGGGACACATACAGTTCATTTTTGGACAGAATCCCAGATCACATTGTTCTGGATTAAAGGACCTCATCATAAGGATCATCGATTGGAAACAAACGAGTGAAAGAGATTCAGGCTCTTAGTAATCCTGAAGCTTGGTCACAAATACCTGGTAAACTGAATATAGCTGACCTTGTATCAAGAGGAGCTGGTGTAAAAGATCTTTTAAAAAATGAGACCTGGTGGTCAGGTCCTGAATTCTTAAGAAAAAATGAAGTAGAAGGAGATATGCCTGTATGTTTTGCTGTAACTAACCAGAATGTTTTGTTTCATAATGATCTTAAAATTACTAATAATTTTTCTAAACTTATTCGTATAGTTTCTTATGTTTTCAGACTTATTTATAACTAGAAATCCAAAAGACGAGAAAGGTGGGTATCTGAAGTGTCAAGATTTGAACAATTCAGAATTTGTTCTCTTAAAATTTGCCCAAAGTGGGTATTCGGAAGAAATTTCTGCCTTAATGAAAGGTGAGAATGCAAAAGGTAAAAGTAAATTAGCTTCTCTTAATTGTTTTCTTGATAAAAATAGGCTTATTCGCGTTGGAGGATGAATAATCATTTCTAGTGTTAACGATAACGTTAAACATCCCATTGTTCTCTCATCTAAACATCCCTTAACTTACATGATTGTAGAGTATTTTCATTTGAAATATTTGCATGCTGTATCCCAGACTTTGCTGTACCTAATACGTCAAAGGTATTGGCCGAAACGGTAGGAAATTGTGCAGATTGGTGATACACAATTGTGTCACGTGCACAAAGAACAAACCAGTCGTAGAGCAACAGTTGAAGGGCCAACAGCGTAAGGAACGCATAGACCCTTCTCCTCCATTTACGGTTACCGGCATAGATTTTTGCGGACCCTTCTACGTGAAATTCAAAGGGCAGAGAAAAGGGGTATTGAATAAGATATATGTCGCAATTTATGTATGTTTTTGTACTAAAGCAATACATCTAGACTTTGTGAGTGATTTAACATCAACAGGTTTCATTGCTAGTTTGAAAAGATTTTTCTCTAGGCAAGGCAAGGCTAAGATTTTCACTGACAATGGACGAAATTTCGTTGGCGCAGATGCCGAGCTAAAACGACTTCTAAAAATTGTAATTTCTCCAGATGAACAATTGGTTCAATATTTCACGGAGGAAACAGTTGACTGGCATTTTAACCCTCCAGGATCTCCTAATTTTGGAGTGTAGAGAAATATGATGTCATACAGCGATAGCAGCGCCCTCACCTGAAGTAGAAGTTAGTTAGATGCTAGACGGGAATGGCGCATTAAGCCATATCCTTTGATTAGTAGAATTTTCCGTATGTTGATTAAGTAACGAATTAACTGTACATATTGTAAATAAATACTTAACTTAACCTTGCTTTGAATCAATTATAGATATAGATATGATGTTCTTCATATAGGAAGATTGATTTTAGATACGGTAAAAGTTTCGCCTTAGAATTTAAAACATCCTTTCGCGACATGGAGGATTGTACGTAGCCGGCGTAAAATCCTTTCAGTATCATTTAAAACGCATAGCCGGAATTTCTCATTTTACTCTGGAAGAATTCATTACAGCATTAGCGGAAATTGAAGGAGTTCTGAACTCCAGACCATTGACTCCATTGTCAGCTGATTTTGATAACTTTCAAACCTTAACCCCGGGGCATTTCCTTATTGGGAGACCCATCACTTCCATCGCAGAACCCCCATTTACAGATATCAATGAAAATAGGCTTAGCAAATGGAAAAAGGTTTCCAGATGCTCTCAAAGAATCTGGAAGATTTGGAAAAGAGATTACTTAAATAATCTGCAACAACGCCACAAGTGGCAGTTCAGTAAGAATAACGTAATGGTTGGGACCTTGGTGCTGGTAAAGGAAGAAAACTTACCATGCAACCAAGTGGTTAACAGGAAGAGTAGGAGAAATATTCACTGGAAGTGATGGGCAAGTAAGAGTTGTGAACATACGCCTGCCACAAGGCAA